GTGTGGTGGAGTCTCCTTCTTTGGAGGTTTTTAATCAGAGGCTGGATGCTTCTGTTGGAGATGCTTTGATTGAAAGTTCCTGCATGGCAGGGGGGTTGGACTGGATGGTCCTTGTGGTCTCTTCCAACTCTATGATTCTATGATGCTATAATTCTATGATTCTATGTATCTGTGACTTGGACTAATAACACTTCAGGTTCCTCCCAACTGTATAATTCTGTTATTTTAAGTAACATAATAGGAATCCCACTGCTTGTTAATCATCCTTCAGTGCTAGAGTTTTTTGATACATTGCCCACAGTAGTGGAAGTCATAAGCAGGTTCATTTTTTTTCTAGACAGAACATTACCTCTCTGTTCCTTTTCTTATATTTTCCCAAATAAAAAAGAGTTGAAACCCATATTTTAAATAAACAAACAGAGAAATAAATAAATTCACGAAAAAGACTCAAAATAGTACCTCCCTGCATCTTCCAGTACTCTACACTTGGCTACACTCCTACACTGATATTAATTTTATTATAAAAGCTTTATTGTATGGCATTTTTTCCTGACTAGATAGAGCTGGGATACAGCAGTAGCATACATTCCTCGAATTCACTGTGTTGTGCTGGACAGTAACCAGGAGTGCTTACATTGCCATGCAGAAGATGCACTGTATGTTCTTTTTTATCTTTCTCTCTTGCTCACTAAAAAAAAGTTTTGCTTTGGTCTGGCTGTCAGGGCTACTGCAGGCATTTTTCAGCACAGTGACAGGCTTTCTGAGGTTACTTGCTGACATCCTGCTATTCTTTAGTAAAGCTAGCTTACTGTAGGTAGTGCTTCTTCTATCCTGAGTTTGATTGAGAAAGAAGTAACAATGACTGCAAAGCCTGTGAGAGAGGATCACAGATAGAAACTGTTTCTATTAACTTCCTCCTCTTTGAAATCTTCTCTTTATGGGTCATGATTTACATTTTTGAGAATGAGCTCTGATGAACACAAGCAGCTAGCATTGGTTTCAAGGCCACTGTGCAGCAGCCTCCTCTGAGAGGTTTTCTGTCTCCAAGAACAAAACTTTAGCCATAACTCCATACTGAGCCCCTTTTCCCTCTAAACATGGGATTTGGAGTTTTGAAGGTAGATGAGGAAACCTATTTATTGCTATCCAAATGAATGGTATTGGTTTTTCTCCCCAGTGTGTATTTCAAATTAATGTTCAGCTTTGCTAATATAATGACTCTTTTATATCACCTCCTCTATTCTCTGTTTGCCAAGGTTTCTGGGAGATCTGAATAGTAGTGAATATGGAGAAATGCTTCTCTTTCTGTTTACTGTCTTTTAAAGGACTTTTGAAACCTAGACTTGCCAACTAGGCTTGTTAGTAGTCTGAGCACCAGTGTCAGCAACATACTTTTTCCCTTTTATACACTTATCTGACAGACTGAGCACATAATCACCGCATGTAACAACATACAATTTTAGTCAAGCTTAAAGGGAATTCTCCTTGTTCATGGATCTCAGAAATATCTAATGATATTGTAGCATTAGGGTATAATCCTCAATTTCTACATTTTCCCAGGAAAATAAAAAAACAAAAAACAAAACAAGAGCCAAAATATATGTGATATTAATTATCCCTTTAAATAAGTGCATTTCACCTGCCTACTTTTACCAGGAGAAAAGCAAGCAGCTCTTTTGAAGTCAGGAAACAGGCAGGTTGGCAATATGGGAAAGGTCCACAGAAAAACGTGCAATAGAGTAACAGATAGAGTCCCTCAATAGAGTAACAGATAAGAGACACACAGCTTCTTTCTCCTCTCACCAAATTCAAAGGTTCAAGTTATGCTTGTTTAAGCAACTAACTGTGCTCATAGTGTGATCCTAGCACCTCAAACCACAGATTCCTTTAGGCCAGAAACAGATGGCCCAGATGAAGTGGCCTCATGCCACTCTGGGCGCTGTTTGCTGGGACCGCGGCAACTGCACATGCCTGGTCCCAGCCTGGGCTGCCACCCCGGTCCTGAACCAGGCCACCAGAAGTTCTTCTGTGCTGGCCCAGTTCTTCTGTGATGGCATGGCATCAGCAAGGCTTCAGGCTGTGTTTGGGACGTGCGTCATCTAAATGGCACACCCCCCCAACACTGCCTGAAGCCACATCATTTTGCCTGTGTGTTTCTGGCCTATGTGCTCTTCCAGGTACAGGTTGAGTCTCTCTTATTAAAAATGCTGAGGACCAAAAGTGTTTCAGATTTTGTTTTGTTTTTTAATGTTGGAATATTTGCATATACATAATGAAATATCTTGGCCATGGGACCCAAGTCTAAACATGAAATTCATTTATGTTTCATATATACTTTGTATACATAGGCTGAAGACAATCTTATACAATATTTTAAATAATTTTCTGCACAAAACAAAGTTTGCCTACATTGAACCATTAGAAAGCAACCCCCAACCACTATTAGATAGCAAGTACTGTTAATTACATACACTTTAAAATTCATTGGTAACCCCAACAAGAGTAGAATCCTTTGAATCAATAGAATTTACATATCTTTTGATTCACAAGTTCCACTGATTTGTTGTGCTTACTCCATTGGCAACTGAATTTAGGACACAGGTCGAATCAAGCATTTCAGCCCTCACCACTAAGAGCTTTTTTGTGCGTGGAAGTACCTTTCACACTGTTCTTGACAGACAGCCTCAAATCTCTTTTTCAGATTTTGTTGTGATGGACAAAACATCAGGGGAGGGGGAATCAGCAGAATAATAATAATTAAAAGGCTGCCTCTCCTTGGGTACACTGGTGGATCTGCCTTTTGCAGATGGAAGATATTCTTTCTTTCTAGTCTGGAAACTGCACTACGCCTCCAAGACTTAGGGCCTAAGCAGACTACCAGAAATAGTGCACATTAAATTGAGGCACTGCACTGACTCAGTGCTAGGGAATCATGGGAACTGTAATTTATTGTGGCATCAGAGCTCTCTGACAGAGAAGGCTCAATGTCTCAGAAAAAAATACAATTCCCATGACTCCCTAGCACTGAGCCAGGGCAGTGCCTCAATTTAATGTGCACTATTTCTGGCAGTCTGCTTAGGCCTTTAGTTAGTATGTAGAATTTATTGCCACAGGATGTGGTACTAGTCATTGGTTTAGGTGAACCACTTAAAAATAATTAGAAATATTCACAGAGCATGGAGGTTTACCAGCGGCTACTAGTTGTGAGGAGAAGGGTGTAGTGGTTTCAGTGTTGGACTAGGATTTTTAAATAGTTCAGATCCCGCCCACCAGATGACCTTGGGCAAGTCACATTCTCTCAACCTAAAAGGAAGGCAGGGAAAATCCTCCTCCTCCTCCAAATTCTTATTATTATTATTATTATTATTATTATTATTATTATTATTATTATTATTATTAATAGAGCACTGTAGAATTTGCACAACACTTTACATAACAGAAATCAAAAATGAAATAAGAATAAAAACCTGCCAAATGGCATACAATCTAAAACATCAGTATTACAAAATTAAAACATCTCTAAAATAATACAGCAAGGACAGAATCAAAGCATAAGTATCATGACAAATTAACAGTCAGTGATATGGAATTCTGAATAAATCTTGCCAAGAAAACCCTAGGAGCGAGTTACATATGTTGGAGTTCACTTGAAGACACACAACATGGTATATAAAGGGAATCTCTGGATTTAGAAATATTATGCCATTTTATATCATTTGCTAAGGGGCAACATTGGGAGAAGACTAGAATGTGAACTTCTTGGAAATATCTGGCTAGTTTTGCGGACACAGAATACTAAACCAGACAGAACAGGGAGAAGGAATCTTGGAATGGCATAGGAATGGATGCTGCCCATGGCTCTATAGGCTGGATACCCTTCCCTGGACTCCTCCATGTTCCTAAACCCAGTATCATTGGCTTCCTGGTCAAAGTGAGGGACTCAAACTCACACCTCAGTTGGGAACCTGGCTTTAGTCTGAAAGACACATATCATGGCATGACTCTGTGGATGTACTCATAGCCAATGCAATTGTGGATATTGTCTAGTATGTTATTTAGACTATATAGTGCTTAAACACAATGCTGACCTCATGAATCAGCTGTGTAGCAACAGAGTTATATTTTGCACAGATTCCTTTGTGATAATGGGCTCTCCCATTTTCTGGGGAACACAGCTGAAGAGTATAGTCTCTTCTTCAGATAAACAATCAGTAGAGAAGCAGAGCAAGAGGTTTTTATGCTGCTACTCAGATATTCAGAAATACTAGTTTTGTAAACAAAAGCAGATGGAAGACCCTCCAGCCATCCCAACTGCTCTGTCCTGGCCTTTGGGGGAGAGAAGAACCATATCTGCTGGCCTTAATTCCCTGGCCAACTGACATTCCCTTTTCCTTATGTATCATATCTTGTTTTGATTGTAAGCCTGAGGGTAGGGAACTATCAAATTAACAATTTATAAACTGCTCTGATAGCCTTTGTGGCTGAAGAGCAGGTATAAATACAATGGGCCCTTGGTATCTGCTGGAATTTGATCCCAGGACACCCTGTGGATACCAAAATCTGTAAATGCTCATGTCCCATTCAATACAATGGCATAGTAAAATGGCGTCCCTTATATAAAAGGGCAAAAACAAAGTTTGCTTTTGGGAATTTATATTATTTCTGAATATTTTCAAGCCATGGATAGTTGAATCTGTGGATAACAAATCCATGGATTAGGAGGGCCAACTGTATACAAAATAAAAATAATAATAACAACAACAATGTGGTGTAGTGTGTCTTTAAGTCATCTCTGACATATAGTGACCCTAAGGTAAGCCCATCATATATATATATTTTTTTTTTTTTGGCAAGTTTCTTCAGAAGTGGTTTGCCTTCGCCATCCTCTGAGGCTGAGAAAGTGTGACTCACCCAAGAACACCCAGTGGGGTTTTCCATGACCGAGTAGGGATTTGAACCCTGTTCTTCAGAGTCATAGTCCAGTGCTCAAACCACTACACCACGCTGGCTCTTGTGTTCACTTAAGTTACATTTATTAGGGATCAGCATCTTGGAAGAGTTACAGAGATTATGAGAGGTAGTGGCCCAATGAGAATTCTGCCCACTTAGGCAGAAGCACGAAGCTTCAAGATACTTCCCCAATGAGGGATATAAAAGCCTCAGGGTGCCATGAGGCAAGGGAGTTGAACAAAGAGAGATGATGGAGATTATTGCACGCCAAATCCCCGCCGGGATACAGGAGGCTTGTAACTGTCACTGACAGATCTTATCACACTGCCCTGAGCCCAGGCAGTAGGCAGCCCATATGCAATCCAGGCTTCTCCTGCAGTTTTTCAAGAATGGGATTTTCCCATATAAGTTTCATGGACCCCAGTGCACTTCATCAGATGTATATCTGGAATCCATGAATGCTGATGCTAGAAATTTTCTTTTCTCGGTCTCAAAGGTGCTTCAGGATTCCCTTATATATTTGAATACAAAGTTACTTTTGGTGGGACTACAACTCTCAGAAACCTCCAGATAACATAGCCACTGAACTATGGTTGTTCCAAGAGTCTTAGTCCAAAAAAAGTCACCTTACAAAATTCTGACCATGAATAGTTTCTTAATTGTGCATGAAGACTGCTTTATGAAAATTATGGCCACCGAAATAGTCCAAAGGCAGGAGAAAGATTACTTTTAATATGAAGTTAATGTTGTATATGAATACTTTTGGTTTAAATGGAGCTTCATATCCAGAAGCAATATCTATAATGGCTGTCCATGGGATCCTCAGTAATCTTCTCTAGCACCACATCTCAAATGAGTTGATTTTCTTCCTATCATCTTTCTTAACTGTTCAGCTCTCACATCCATACATGGTAACAGAGAATATGATGGCTTGTATGATTCTTAACTTTTGTGCTGAGTTGTAGATCTTTGCATTTTAGAATCTTTTTGAGTTCTTTTGTAGCCACCCTCCTCATTCTTAATCTTCTGATTTCCTGACTGCAGTCCCCATTTCTATCAATATTTTATCCCAGGTATGAGAATTCTTTTACTATTTCTGTTTCTTCATTGTCTAGGTTGAACTTGTGAAGGTCCTCGGTTTTTTCCCCCTTATGTTCAACATTAAGTTTGCCTTTGCACTTTCTTCTTTGCTCTTCCTTAGTAGGTGTTCGATTGCTAAAGATATGGAACTGACAGGAACAGAAGATACATGTGATCTGGTCTACATCATTCCATTGATATATAAAAAACCCCAACTCTATTTATTAAGACTTTATACATTACAAAGCTGCTTAATAGGCCTAAAATAAAATGTATGCATAGTTTTGGTTTTAAAGTATTATGAATCTTGCCAAGAAAACCCTAGGTTCACCTTAGAGTTGCATACTATGAGGGGTTGCACACTGCCAGAAATAGTGCAAATTGAGTCCACTTTTAGGGTTAGGGTTAAGGTTAGGCAATCATGGGAACTGTAGTTTATTGTGGCACCAGAGCTCTCTGACAGAGAAGACTCAATGTCTCAGAAAAAACAACAATTCCCATGATTCCCTAACCCTAAAAGTGGACTCAATTTGCACTATATATGTCAGAAATTACTTGAAAGCACTAGGCTCACCTTAGGGTTGCTATATGTCAGAAATGACTTGAAAGCACACAATAACAATAGTAAAAGAGCAACAACAAGAGCCAAGTCACACTTGCCCAGCCTAAAAAAAAGGCAATAGCAAACCTCCTTTGAATAAATCTTCCAAAGAAAACCCTACGTTCAAGTTGAATTGGAAGCACATGACAACAAAGAGTAAAATACCTTAGCTTCCAAAGTGCATTAAAAGGTATGATCAAGATCCAGTGATAGACCTTAGTATTTGATGTGAAAGAAACTGGGA